CACTAGAATGCTTAGCATGGCTAGGCATTTCGGGCATAGGATGTCTCTCTGATTCCGTTCCATTGAGAACTACCCTTAGAGATCTACCATGAAGGTAATCACTGAGGAGACATAGCATAGAGCCTGCAATTCCCAGTGCTTGAAGTTTTGTTAAGAGGCCCTGGTGCCACACCCGGTCGAAAGCACCAGGAATGTCCAGTGCTGCCACACAGCTGACTTTGGATTCATCCAGTGACTGGTGCCACTTAGTGGAGAGGTTTAACAACAGATCAGCAGCAGAGTAACCTTTCCTGAAGCCATATTGACGATCACAAAGTAGTGAGTGGTAGTCAAAAAACTCTGTCATTTGTCTTGAGATTATTGTCTCAATGATCTTACCAGTGATTGACAGGAGTGACACTGGTCTGTAGTTGCTGATTTCTGCTCTGCTCTTCTTTTTGTGAACAGGGACTACATTTGCCTCTTTCCACAGAGGGGGCCATTTACACTGTACTAGGCAGTACTGAAAGATGCGAGTTAGAGATGCTGCTAGCTGGTCTGCACATCTTCTCAGCAATCTTGGGCTCAACTTGTCTGGGCCCACAGCCTTTTCTTGGTCAAGTGATTTAAGAAGAAAATGTGCCTCCTCCTGCCTTATTGTCACCACTGACAGTTTTGACACAGTTCTTGCAGCTAGCCAAGGAGGGTCCCTTGCTGGATCAAGATGTGACCCACACCAGTCAACTAACACCCAGGTACCCATTTTATACTGATGGGTGAACATGGATGGCAGGTGTCTTACAGAAACATGTCCCTAATGTTTTCCAGCTGTACTTGAGGAGATTCGAACTCCGGACCACAGTGTGTGAGCTGGGTGCGCTAGCAATTGAGCTATGGGACACCTTAATCAAATTGTTCTGTGAATTAGTCAGATTTGCCAGTTAATAAGTGGCTACCATGGCTTTGCTCATTCTTTTCTCAATGTATCCTTGTTTTCTTTATTTTCCTTATCACGTGAGCAACTATTTATAGTATAATATTTCAGCTTGTATCAGATTTTTTAGGCATTACTTATACAGGTCCACAACCTTTTATCCAAAATTCTGAAATTAGAAAAGTTCCAAAAACCGAAGTTTTTTCGTGGAGTGTGGAGTGTCAGTCATCTCAATACTGGCCCCAAGGGTTTCGGATAAAGGGATGTGGACCTGTATCATCTTTCTGGACAGTCTAGTACCAAAGCTAATGCTCTAAGTATCTGACAGGAATGCAAGGTCATATGTCACCTTTCACCCAAATTAGCATTGAGAATCTTGTAAAAAGTAATTTACTAATATTTAAGGTCTTTACAGTTTTTTGGAATGTGTATGGAGACTGTGATAATTTTGGAATGCTGACGGGCCACACAAATGCCATCACAGATATGCATTTCTCTACTGATGGAACAGTTCTGTACACAGCATCAGCAGACAAAACAGTCATGTGCTGGGATACTACTAGTGGCACACGAGTTAAGAAGCTGAAAGGTATAGTGTTCATTTTAGTTTTGTCTATACAAATGTTTAGAGATTGGTATTCATTTTTAAATCAAATAATTACTAGAAGAAAAAGTTTTCTTAAGTGACACGGCATCTTTTTTTTTTTTTTCAATCCCTAGGTACCTTCCCCTCTTTCATACATTTATCTTTCTTCTAGAATTGCTCCCAGGTTCAACTGGGTAAGACAGGTATTTTATATATTCATTTAGCATTTTTTGATAGTGTGTTGGGCATATTTTACATACTCTTTTAAACATAGTAATTACTAGTACCATACAGTGGAACCCCGGTTTTCGTATTTAATCGTTCCAGAAGGTCAACCGAAAACCGATTTGTATGAAAAATGAAGTAATGTTTCCCATGATAAATAATGTAAATCCAGTTAATCCGTTCCAGACACCCAAAAATATTAACAAAAGATACATTTTATAGAGAATAACTATAAAAAACAATGAAATAAATATAAAGCCCTAATGAAATGGATAAATAAACATTTAACCCCTTGACTGTCGCAACCCCAAATCTTGAGGTGTCTCCTGGTGTTGCAAATTCCCCCCCCCCCTTCCCCCCAAAATTATTTTTTTTCTTATGAAATGATAGAGAATCTTTTCCCGATTGTAATGACACCAAAAGAACAAAATTTGATGGAAAACTGATGGAATTACGCTCTCGCGAAGTTAGTGACGTTGGCGATATTTACAAATTGGCGATTTCGCCCACTTTGAGCCCTATTTTTGGCTAATTCCATTGTTCCAGTCGACCAAACTCATAGCTATTTCTTTAGAACTCCATTTTTTCTATCGATTGAGTACAAGAAACTGCCCATTTACGAATCTCAACTACCCAATAACGTGGTCAGAAATTTGCAAATTGCCCAATTTCATGAAAATTAAAAAATAAGATAATTTCAGATAGGGTCCAGAATGAACAATGCAGACATTCCTGGCTCTAAAATAACATTTTCTTTATTCATCAGTCACGTCTCCAGGGGCCTCTGATATTACTCTTGCTTTCTATTTTTAATTTTTATTCAAACAAAAAAATAGAAGATTTACTGTTATGCAGACTACTGCAATATTGTAATAATTGTATAAATAATGTTAACCCATTCATGACTGCATATTAGAATGGCTACTTGGACATTTATTGGAAAATGACATCATTTGTTTACTTTTGAACTTTGGCAAAAATCAAACATTTCCCCTACTCTTAGCTCCATTTCAAGGTTCTTTTCATAGTAAAACCAATCTAAATCAACTCTATTTCTATAATATGTATTCCATTCTATCAAATGAGACCAAGAGAATGAGAATACAACCATAAACTACCTGAAACAATCCATTAGCTAGTAAGATAAATATGTTTAGCTTCATAATATTAAGTACAATATAATACTTTGTTCAAAAGTCTAGTTGTAGAATCACACACAATCATATGATAACAGGCATTGATCCTGATATCACCCATTTATTAAATGACAAACAGCAACTGTAATTATTATACAGCAGACCAAACAAATACATTACTCAGAGCCAACAATAACATAACTATCTTTAATTACAATGTCAGATCTTTGAGCAAACATTACAATGACATCACAGCATTACTCAATTCCCTGCATAACAGTATGTCAGTCATCACACTCACTGAAACCTGGCTAAAGCCTGGTGCTACAGATGTCTATGTCATTCCTGGTTATACAGCCATACACAATTGTAGGACAGATCAGCAAGGGGGTGAAACAGCCATAAACTACTAAGATCAACTTGAATGTATCAATAATTCTTGCAAAAGGGACGAATATGGAGAATATATTATGGCTAAATTTAAATCAAAAGACCTGCAAAAACCCCTCACAGTCATAAACATCTACAGAATACCACAGTCAAACATTTACCATTTTAGTGAAAAATTAGGAAACATTATAACTGATGCACACATGAACAAATGCCATTTGCTGCTCACAGGAGATTTCAACATAAATCTCCTACATGACCAGGACCCACAAGTAATCGAATTCACAAACACTATGAGCAACTGCTTGTTCCTACCAACAATAACGAAACCTACAAGAATCTCCGAGACCAGTGTCTCCTTATTAGACCACATCTGGACTAACACCATATCCTCTTTAAAATCAGGCATAATCACAGACAACACCACAGACCACTACCCTACGTTTCTCATAACCAACCTAGGTAATTTGCCCCAAGACACTACTAAAGTTGCCTTCAAACTACATAATGAGACAGCAGTTAGTACCTTTATAACAGCTATGATTAACATCGACTGGAATAATGAGCTAGAAACATATACAGATGCTGATGAATGTATTGATAATTTTCTAAAAAAAAAAAAAAAAATTACCTCTGTAACAAGCATTGCCCTAAAAAACTAAACAGATCACAGATAAGAGACTGAAGAGTCAATGGCTAACACCCAGCATCCTTAAATCCATTAACACAAAGCAGCTATATGAAAAACAGTATAGAATGGGCCAAATAACCAGAGACTATTCTACATGTTACTCGTCAATCCTTACCAGCCTGATAAGAAGGTCAAAAAAAAATTATTATGAGAACAGATTACATAACATAAAAGGTGATATGAAAAAGACCTGGAAAACCCTATCTGAAATTCTAGGAACTAAAATGATACCCAAAAACAAAACACTCAAATTGACAAAATCAGATGAACCCCTACCCTAGCCGTAGAGTTGATAATAGCGCCATATTTAAGCCTCGACGTTTTGCATACGCCAACAAGATTCTTCAATAAAGACAGAAGTGATATAAATGTTCATTTATCCATTTCATTAGTCATTTAGTTCTTATTGTTTTCTGTATGTAAAACTTTAGTTAATCTTGAAAAAATGTATTTTTTGTTAATATTTTTGGGTGCCTGAAACAGATTACATGTAATTGGATTTACATTAATTCTCATGGGAAATATTTTTTTGATTATTAGCCATTTCACTTTTAGGCCAACCTGGAATGGATTACGGCCAATAACTGAGGGTCCACTGTACTAAAAATTTTATAAATGGTGCAAAGGTGACATTAAAACAATATCTAAAGATGGTTGACACAAACCCACCACCAGTATAGTATGCTTGAAATATCGCTTAATGACCAATTCGCTTACCGACCTACTCTTAGTAATGGATCTCGGTCATTAAGTGAGGAATACCAGTATGTGTTTTGTACAAATCATTAGAAAAATGTAGATTTATAAATTAGTTTTGAGACAACCCGAATATTTACAGTTGATTTTTTGTTATCCAGTGAATTATAGATAGTATTTTATATATGTTTATTTTACACATGTGTTTTTTCAAATCTTTCAGGACACAGCAGTTTTGTTAATTGTGTGCATAGTGCACGACGTGGTCCAAGTCTTGTTGTGAGTGGTGGAGATGACTGTACTGTCTTAATCTGGGATGTGCGAAAAAAACGACCTGCTACAACACTTCAGAACACATTCCAGGTTTGAGCATTTGAAATTTACATTTATTTTGTATTTCATGAGGTTATGACTCTTGGAGGTGGGAAATACACTGCCTGCACTCTGAAGGAAGGGGTTAAAACACATTGTTATTTTCACTTGCCTTTCATACAGATATTCAAATTTATGAAGGGTTTTTACGAGGATAGTGAGGCTCAGATTAGAGTTTATTGGAGAGAGGGAGATTATTTTCCATTCAGGCCAAGATGCTTCTCAGTACCAACAGTAATATAACAGTATTCAATTATAATTCAGGTCATTGAGTAAACACTTTGATGACCTCCTAGCATTACTCAGTTCTCTGCATGCCAGTATGTCATTCGTAACGCTCACTGAAACCTGGCTCAAATGTGACATTGCAAGCATCTTTGATATACAGTAGGGCCCCGCTTTATGGCACTTCACCTTATGGGATTCCACTAATACAGCGATTTCAAATTATGACCAAAATTTGCTATACGGTGAGCGGTCTTTCAGATACGGCATGCCCCACCCGGTTTGTTTACATTCTCTGTGAGCACAACTCTATTATGTCTGGAATTTTTGCAAAATTTCAAGTGTTTTAAAGTTAATGTATATTTTATATGTACTCTGTACCTAAATATGCTTACACACTGTGTTGGCATGCAGGTACACATCAAAATCACCAAGTCTCTGTACTCGACGCCATATAATCTCTTGGGTTCATTAAATGTCGTATATTACGTTAATATAGACATTTCCATTAGTCCATCTATGATATTTTTTTTTGAATATAGAATAAAGATGCTGCATAACATATAAACATGATACATACACCCAGAGTATAAAAAATTGACATAAATATGAGATTTGTTTACCAAGCGTTTGGTAGGAGAGTTGAAGAATTACACTTTCTCTAGTCAAACACCAGTAACTTAACTAGAAATTTATTCCTTTCTTATTCTTTCACTTTGTCTATAGTGCTAAACCCACAACCCTTGTGGGTTTAGCACTTCTTTTTTATTTTGATTATAATAATAATAACTTGTAATAATAATAATATCTTGTAATAATAATTTTTCTTTTCAACAAACCAGCCATATCCCACCAAGGCAGGGTGGCCCAAAAAGAAAAACAAAAGTTTCTCTTTTTAAATTTAGTAATTTATACAGGAGAAGGGGTTACTAGCCCCTTGTACCCGGCATTTAGTCGCGGCTTACAGAGGAAGAATTCTGTTCCACTTCCCCATGGAGGTAAGAGGAAATAAACAAGAACAAGAACTAGAAAGAAAATAGAAGAAAACCCAGAGGGGTGTGTATATATATGCTTGTACATGTATGTGTAGTGTGACCTAAGTGTAAGTAGAAGTAGCAAGACTTACCTGAAAATCTTGCATGTTTATGAGACAGAAAAAAGGACACCAGCAATCCTACCATCATGTAAAACAATTACAGGGTTTCGTTTTACACTCGCTTGGCAGGACGGTAGTACCTCCCTGGGCAGTTGCTGTCTACCAACCTACTACCTAGAATAATAATAATATCTTGTAATAATAATAACAACTTGTAATAATAAATAATAATAATAATAACTTGTAATAATAAATAATAATAATAATAATAATAATAATAATAATAATAATAATTTGTCAAAGCTTCATTCCTTGTAAAAATTACGTGAGAATGGTAGTGTTGGTCTTTATTTATTTGCCTTGTTCTTTAGCAAAAACACAAATGATTCAGTTATACACGTGCTCGAGCTACTATATACGGCGCTGGAGAAAAAAGGAAATTCCACTGGGCCTCTTCATAGACCTATGGAAAGCATTTGATACAGCTGACCACGATCTCTTGCACTTAAAACTTGAACATTATGGGGTCAGAGGACACTCGATTACCTTAAATAATTTCTTAGCCATAGTCACCAGTATGTATACACAAATATTGTTGCCTCCACCACACAACCTGTTCTAGTTGGAGTCTCCCAGGGCAGTGTCCTTGGACCACTTCTCTTTCTTATTTACATCATTGACCTCTCTAATGCCTCCAAACTACCTAAACCTGTTCTTTTTGCAGATGACACTACCTATATCTTCTCTCACCCCAACCAAACCATACATAAAAACACTGTAAACAATGAGCTGCTAAAAATATCCACTTGGATGACCGCCAACAAACTTATTCTATCGACAAAACCTACTACATACTGTTTGATAACAGAGCTGCAAATATTCAGCTAAACATATCGATAAATAGTTCCTCCATTTCAAGACACATTGATGGAAAATTTCCAGGGCTTCACATTGACAGCTGTCTTAAATTTCAGATCCTCTCTAAGATACGGTACTATGTACCTCAAACGGCACTTCTTGCTCTTTACCACTCTCTCATCTACCCTTACCTCACCTATGGAATTTGTGCATGAGGTTTAACCACAGCAAATCACCTTAAACCTTTAATTATACCACAGAAAGCTGCTGTGAGAATGGTTACAAACTCCTGCGCCAGGCAATACACCCCACCACTATTTAAGAGCTTGAGCCTGCTTAACATACAATTTTTTTTTTTTTAACAAGTCAGCCGTCTCCCACCGAGGCAGGGTGACCCAAAAAGAAAGAAAATCCCCAAAAAGAAAATACTTTCATCATCATTCAACACTTTCACCTCACTCACACATAATCACTGTTTTTGCAGAGGTGCTCAGAACACAACAGTTTAGAAGCATATACGTATAAAGATAAACAACATATCCCTCCAAACTGCCAATATCCCGCACCCCTCCTTTAGAGTGCAGGCATTGTACTTCCCATTTCCAGGACTCAAGTCTGGCTATATAAAAATAACCGGTTTCCCTGAATCCCTTCACTAAATATTACCCTGCTTGCACTCCAACAGATTATCAGGTCCCAAATACCATTCGTCTCCATTCACTCCTATCAAACACGCTCATGCACGCCTGCTGGAAGTCCAAGCCCCTCGCCCACAAAACCTCCCTCACCCCTTCCTTCCAACCTTTTCAAGGACGACCCCTACCCCGCCTTCCTTCTCCTACAGATTTAAATGCTCTCCATGTCATTCTACTTTGATCCATTCTCTCTAAATGACCAAACCACCACAGCAACTCCTCTTCAGCCCTCTGACTAATACTTTTATTAACTCCACACCTTCTCCTAATTTCTACACTCCGAATTTTCTGCATAATATTTACACCACACATTGCCATTAGACAGGACATCTCCACTGCCTCCAACCACCCCTTCCTTCCAACCTTTTCAAGGACGACCCCTACCCCGCCTTCCTTCTCCTACAGATTTAAATGCTCTCCATGTCATTCTACTTTGATCCATTCTCTCTAAATGACCAAACCACCACAGCAACTCCTCTTCAGCCCTCTGACTAATACTTTTATTAACTCCACACCTTCTCCTAATTTCTACACTCCGAATTTTCTGCATAATATTTACACCACACATTGCCATTAGACAGGACATCTCCACTGCCTCCAACCACCTCCTCGCTGCTGCATTCACAACCCAAGCTTCACACCCATATAAGAGTGTTGGTACTACTATACTTTCATACATTCCCTTCTTTGCCTCCATAGATAACGTTTTTTGACTCTACATATATCTCAACACACCACTCATCCTTTTTCCTTCATCAATTCTATGATTAACCTCATCCTTCATAAATCCATCTGCCGACACGTCAACTCCCAAGTATCTGATAACATTCACTTCTTCCATACTCCTCCTCCCCAATTTGATATCCAATTTTTCTTTATCTAAATCATTTGATACCCTCATCACCTTACTCTTTTCTATGTTCACTTTCAACTTTCTACCTTTACACACTCCCAAACTCATCCACTAACCTTTGTAATTTTTCTTTAGAATCTCCCATAAGCACAGTATCATCAGCAAAAAGTAACTGTGTCAATTCCCATTTTGTATTTGATTCCTCATAATTTAATCCCACTCCTCTCCCGAACACCCTAGCATTTACTTCTTTTACGACCCCATCTATAAATATATTAAACAACCATGGTGACATTACACATCCCTGTCTAAGACCTACTTTTACTGGGAAGTAGTCTCCCTCTCTTCTACACACCCTAACCTGAGCCTCACTATCCTCATAAAAACTCTTTACAGCATTTAGTAATTTACCACCTATTCCATATACTTGCAACATCTGCCACATTGCTCCCTATCCACTCTATCATATGCCTTTTCTAAATCCATAAATGCAATAAAAACTTCCCTACCTTTATCTAAATACTGTTCACATATATGCTTCAATGTAAACACTTGATCTACACATCCCCTGCCCACTCTGAAACCTCCTTGCTCATCCGCAATCCTACATTCTGTCTTACCCCTAATTCTTTCAATAATAACCCTACCATACACTTTTCCTGGTATGCTCAATAAACTTATTCCTCTGTAATTTTTACAATCGCTTTTGTCCCCCTTCCCTTTATATAAAGGGACTATACATGCTCTCTGCCAATCCCTAGGTACCTTCCCCTCTTTCATACATTTATTAAACAAAAGTACCAACCACTCCAACACTAAAGCTCCCCTGCTTTTAACATTCCTGTCATGATCCCATCAGTTCCAGCTGCTTTACCCCCTTTCATTCTACGTAATGCCTCACGTACCTCCCCCACACTTACATTCTACTCTTCTTCACTCCTAAAAGATGGTATACCTCCCTGGCCAGTGCATGAAATTACCGCCTCTCTTTCTTCCTCAACATTTAAAAGTTCCTCAAAATATTCTCGCCATCTACTTAATACCTCCCTCTTTCCACCTACTAACTCCCCTACTTTGTTTTTAACTGACAAATCCATACGTTCCCTAGGCTTTCTTAACTTGTTCAATTCACTCCAAAATTTTTTCTTATTTTCATTAAAATTTCTTGACAGTGCCTCTCCCACTCTATCATCTTCTCTCCTTTTGCACTCTCTTCACCTTTCTTTTACTCTCCATATACTCTGCTCTTCTTATAACACTTTTG